GGCGGGGGCGTCGGAGGCGGCGACGAGCCGGGCAGCCCGGCCCAGGGCAAGCGCGGCAAGAAGTCTGCGGGCGGCGGCGGCGGAGGCGCCGGCGGCGGCGGCGGCGGCGGCAGCAGCAGCGGCGGCGGGAGCCCGCAGTCGTACGAGGAGCTGCAGACGCAGCGGGTCATGGCCAATGTGCGGGAACGCCAGCGCACGCAGTCGCTGAACGAGGCGTTCGCCGCGCTGCGGAAAATCATCCCCACGCTGCCCTCGGATAAGCTGAGCAAGATCCAGACCCTCAAGTTGGCGGCCAGGTACATCGACTTCCTCTACCAGGTTCTCCAGAGCGACGAGCTGGACTCCAAGATGGCAAGCTGCAGCTATGTGGCCCACGAGCGGCTCAGCTACGCCTTCTCGGTTTGGAGGATGGAGGGGGCCTGGTCCATGTCCGCGTCCCACTAGCAGGCGGAGCTCCCCACCCCCTCGGCAGGGCCGGAGACCTAGGTAAGGACCGGCGCCTCTGCGCCCCTTCGCCCTTCCGCCGCTCAGGTGGCAGATGGACTGACGGCCGGGCCGCGGCTCCCCGTCCACCTTGCCTTCCTCACCCGCTTCTCAGCCTTCCCACCCAGCCTGGCACCGCCACCTCAAACCCCACCCCCCCACCCCCCCCCCCCGCCCAGCGTCCCTGAGAGGCAGGTCGGTCCCCGCTAGGGAGAGGGGCATGCGCCCCGATGAGGAGTGTGCGTGTGCGTGAGTGTGCGTGACAGACAAGAGGGAAGACTGAGAGATTCGAGGGTCATGGGTATGAGGACGGTTTTCTTGCCAGGGCCTCCCTTTCCTTGGGCTTTAAGTTTTCGTTCTCCTTAAAACAAATGCTTCCAAATTCCACCTCCTCCTTCTTTCCGCCCACCCACTTCCTCTTGCCCTGGGGCTGAAATCCTTCCAGGTTGTTCAGCGTAATTTCTCAGTAGTGGTGATAAGAACAGTATTCACTAGTCTTAGCAAACAGCCACGAAGACCTAAACAATAACCAACTTTCCCCCCTCTGGGTTTTTGCAGATGTCATTGTTTCCAGAGAAGGAGAAAATGGACAGTCTAGAGACTCTGGAGCTGGATAACTAAAAATAAATATATATGCCAAAGATTTTCTTGGAAATTAGAAGAGCAGAACCCAAATTCAAAGAAACAGGGCGTGGGGCGCACTTTTAAAAGAGAAAGCGAGACAGGCCCGTGGACAGTGATTCCCAGACGGGCAGCGGCACCATCCTCACACCTCTACATTCTGATAGAAGTCTGAACAGTTGTTTGTGTTCCTTTTTTTTTTTTTTTGACGAAGAATGTTTTTATTTTTATTTTTTCATGCATGCATTCTCAAGAGGTCGTGCCAATCAGCCACTGAAAGGAAAGGCATCATTATGGACTTTTCTCCATTTTAAAATGGTAACAACCAGAGGAATTTTAAGAACGTCTTTAGAAATAAAAATACGGGGATCAAACTGACTTGCAAAATCAGTCAGTTAATTCCTTTTTACATTCTTCCTCTGAGAGAAAAAAAAACTTAAAATACAAAAAACAACATTCTATTTATTTATTGTTGACCCATGGTAAAATGCAAATAGATCCGGTGTCTAAATGCATTCATATTTTTATGATTGTTTTGTAAATATCTTTGTATATTATTTTTCTGCAATAAATAAATATGATTGAAAATTTTAAGAACCTTAGAGTTTGGTCTATATTTTTAAAGCTCAGGATTAAGTTGGAGGTAAATATCTGCTTGTTTAACTCTGGAGGCACCCAGGAGGGAGGGGATACTAATATAAACAAAGCAGTGAAAAACGCAAATAAACTAGCTACTGACAGGCACAGGCATGTTATTTAGAAAGACAGCTTTATTATTATTCCAGTTTGGTGTTCAGTGGGCTTTGTAGCATCTATCCTTCATCTCTTATCAGGTCCCCAAACAGCAAAAACTTAACAAATTTGTTACTCACTTCTGTTGCTTATATTTTGAGGAGGCAGCTGTAAAACAGTTAAATGCAAATAAGCAATATGAGGCCAGCACTATTTTCTCTTGTTACGGTATATTTTTGTCATGCCCTCCACTGTTTTTGAGGATTTCTAAGTAATAGGTTCATTGCACTGAAAGGATGCACAAAGTGTTATTAAAATGATCTGTATCTGTACACGTGATAAATCAGTAGGAATGCGTAGAAAATAATAAAGTTAAATTCAGCAGGAAAGATAATTCCATTTACAAAGTAATTTGCCTTTTTTCATGAATGAAAATGATATCTAGTGTCATGTTTGCTTAAAAGAAGAACCAAAGTTAATATTTTTCCATGTTGATGTTATCCATTCAGGAAGCATGCTCCTTCTTTAAAGAACATACAAGTATGAAGTAAAATACAATAAAGAACCTGAACTTTCAGTATCTTCAGTAACTATTGGAACAATCACAATTTGAAGTACTAGAGCTATTCATTTTCTAGTGAGTTCATTAGCAAATATATTTTATTCAAAATTACATGTAATTTTTCCCTGGTTACTCATACAAAACCTGAAGTTAAGTAAAACAGTAACAGCAAAACAAATGGGGCTTGATTTTTATTTCATTCTGGTTATTTCTGAGCTAGGAAAACATTGGCTTTTATAACTAATATCATTAGAAGTAGTAAGTTTGTATCACTTCTTAACTTTTACATCTAGTTGACTGCATTCAGGTGTAATCAGGGAAGCTTTCAAACTGGAAAATAATTTTGCTGTCTAATTCAAACAATGGCTATGGCAAACAAGTGTATATGAATCCAAACAGATCGTGTTTGCTCAACTCAGATTGAGGTTATTATATTGCCTGAAGGTTTTTGTTTCCCTCCCACACATCATCAGAGAATGCTGACACAACAGTATTGTAAATTTACTATACTGAATATCTTAGACCATGTTTTACAAATAAGGAGCCTGTAGCATTGACTTACACACTGAGAGATTAGTGAAGGCTTGGGGAATTAATTTTTGGATTTTGATAATCCTTTACCAAATAACTACACGAGCCGGGAAAGTGATTATGTGTGAGTGTACTTGTAGGGTGTGGGTATATTTGTAGTGTGTGTGTGTGTATGTGTATGTTAGAGAGAGAATGTGTGTGTGTTTGGGTGGGTGGGTGTGTGTGTGTAGGGTAGAAATGTAAGGTGGGTACCCTAGAAGGATGAAGGAGAGCATCAGGATGGTAATTCTCTCTTCTGTGTGTATCATCCTACCACCTCCATTTTCTAAACTGTTCATGGAGGAATCTCCTTGTTCACTAGCTTGGTATGACTATTTGATATTTCAGATTTCTTGATGTACATCGGGATGGAGCTGACCATCATTGCTGAGAAGGTAATTTCTCTTATCTCTGATGATACAAAACCCAGAAGTTTCAAAAAAAGGTAGCCTATCATTTGCCTTTTTAAATTTTTTTTATTTTTTTTGGTGTTTTATTCTCTTTACTTTTCTCATAAGGGAAAACCCTTTGGAGAAAAGCAAATGCCATATTTATGTTGCTAAACTGAAGGTAATATTTTCCCCGAGATTTTCGGGGAAATAAATAAATGAATGAATGAAAGGTGATAGATAGCTTTACTTTGAGAATAATTCATGGTGGAAATTTTAACTATTAGAATACAATTTTCAGCTTGCAGACTTTTTGTATTCCCATTGTCCTCCCCCATACACACGACAAGGCGAATTCTTTTTTAGAAGAGAAATAAAGCCACCTGTGTTTCTCTAGCTCTACCATTATTTCCTGTTTTCATTTTATTTTTGCTACCTATTCTTATTTAAAGGACAATTAGAATGAACTACCTCTGCTTCAGAAGTGAGAATTTAATGTGGTGGCTGGACGGGGGACTCTACCCTTTAGCCAGAATGCATTTACTGGAGTGAAAATGCTGTATAAAATTGCCTTGGGTGAATTCTAAACAACTGAGTAAGAATGTATACATATATAATTTTTTTTTTAAATCTTTTAATTTTGTTGAACTGATAGCCTTCAGTCATAAGAAAGCAGTAAATTTTTGTTCTCATATGAGAACATATGCACACATTTCCCTTCGTGCACACACTTGCTAAGCACATGCACAGATGATAATTCATGCACAGTTGCAGGTACCCTCCCTAAAGTGGTACATATTATTAATAAAATAACGTTAAATAGCAGAAACTCACATACTGTGTGTACTTTTTTCCCACACTCAACAACGGCACAAGCTTCTTGCTCCTTCGGTCCTCAGGCTCATATTCATAATAGAGTTTTTTAAGGGACACTTGGCCTCTTGCAAAAAAGTCGAGCATTTTGCACATTCCACGGTTTGGCAAACTCAGAACTGGTTATTTTCTCTAGACCAGTATCAAGTTCTTCTCAGGCATATGATTTCACTTGAAGTCCTGCCCAGGAATCCTTCAAAGTGAGCGTTTGTCCCGCTCTCATGATGTCAGGCGGTTTTCCCTGCATCTGTAATTTGAAGAAAAACAAACAAACCTGCGGGGTACAAACGCCACGGAAACCCAAACAGAACTCCGTGGGGAGCGGGAGGCTCACCTGCGGCGCGCGCGGGAGGGGGGCCGCCGGCCCAGACTCCCCTGCGTGGGTGGCAGGCCGGGGCCACACGGTGGGGAGAGTGACAATGTCCGGGCCCTTCTCCGACTGCGTGGACCGCTCGGGGCCCCAAGTCTGGCCGCTGCGCGGGGGCGGCGGTTCCAAGTGTCAGCGGTAGCAGAAGGAGCCGCCACAGAGTCAGGCAAAGGCCCAACCTCCCATTTCCAGAGACAGGCCTGTATTAGCGACAAACATGGGTCGGGCGGGGGATTCCCCCCCCCCAGGGGCCACTTTTCCAGAATTTTCTGCGCGTGTGTCGTAAAGCGTGCCCCACCCCCAGCACCAGCGAAAGTGGAAGGAAAGTGCACCGACAAAGTGGAAGGAGAGATCGGTTACCTCATGATTTCTCAAAGACGGCAACCCCATTCTTTCCCAAGAAACCTCGAATCCGAGACCTCGGAAATGCAAACAGGATTATTAATTATCCTTATTTACTGAACAGCCAAAGATAGACCCAGTAAACAGGGCATGAGATACATTTGCCATTTGCTTTTGTCCCAAGGCCCCAGGACGTGAGCCCACTTAATGTTCTTAGCAAATCAAAGCACGTGTCCTTTGAAGAAGGTGTGTAATTGGAGTTTAAGGCATGTATGGAATTCCCAGATGTCTATAAAGAGGGAAGAAGCATGTGGCAGGTCACTGGAAGGTGGGGCAGGTTAAAATCACTGGCACAAAAGTCCCCCCTTTCTAGTCTCCGTCTTTATAAAGGCCAGGGAGATAAACCTTGGGGGAACGGATGGGACGGAATCATAATGAATACCCAGCTTCTCATATCAGAGTCCTAGTAACCATGGCAAAAAGCACATGGTCAGAAAACCTCAAATAAAACACTCAATTATAGCCGGGATTTCGTGGGCGTCCTGCAATAAGATCGTTTGGGGTTTGCTGCAGCGAAGGCCTCGAAAGGCTGTCCTTGTTTACGTGGACTGTTTTCTTTTCCTTCCCTTTCCCGCCCCCCCCCCTCAAGTTTGTGGATGTGTCTTCGTACTTACCGCGTGAACAAAATTCCAGATTAGGAAAAGAAAAAAACATTTCTAAAAACATTCATCCCAAAGGCAGCCTTCTTGGGGGAAGGGAGATTACGAGCAAATGAAATTAAATTTCTGTAAACCACGCAGTTTAAACATCTACCAGATAGAGCGAACGTTCATTTAAAGACAACCATCAGAACCAGCCGCCCTCTTTTTTCATTCCACTGAAGAGTATATAGATGTATATGAGACTATGGAATCTAAGCGCGAGTTTGAACATTGCTTATTAGGCAGTTTTGTTTTGTTTTGTTTTGTTTTTGGTCTGAAGCCGGAACCGAAGGCAATCTGACTTTTCTCCTTGGGTCCAAGATGGTGCCCTCATTTACCTGCACGGTGGAACCAGAGGCGGGAGACGTAAGGATGGGGTCTGCCAAAGAAGCTGGCCGTGGCAAAGGTTGGCGTTGGGGGGGGCGATGTGGGGTCCTAGGAGGCTGGGGGCCAGAGCGTGGGGGCTGGAACAAAGCGCTCCACAGACCCCGCCACTGAGTCAGGCGGGAGGGCGAAAAGGACCCACCGGGGGTGATGCGAGTGTGACAAGTGAAAAGTTAAGCAAGTACCTGAAGGAAGTTTATCTTGCCCAGATGTTAGGGCTTTTATGAAATGTCACGTGAAGAGAACAGATGTACAATTTGCAAATGGGG